TCGTCTAACATTGCATCCATGTCTGAGTCAGGAAAATGGTACGCCTTCTGCTCCAATTCCCTTAATGTGCTTTTGTACCTTTCTTGGGTGTGAGGAGGCTCACCTCTCTTTATCTCCTTTGTTTTGGTTTTAGAGGAGATCTTGATAGGCGCGGAGGCGGTCTTGACGGGCGCAGTGCTGACGGTGAACGCTTCCTTGGGGGGTTCCTTCTTAAAGTTGGTGATCGGCTCTTTCTTCCCGTGATAGGCAATACTTAGCTTCATGTCGTGGGCACGGGTGGCTAACTCTTCAAATGTCCGTGGTTTGATGCCTTAAAGGATATAGTGTAACCCCCATTGCATGCCTTGGACGCACATATCGATTGAAGAGATCTCCGATAGCCTATCCTTCCAGTCGAGGCTTAGATTGCATCATCGGTTGATGTAGTCTACGACTGGCTCATCCCTCCATTGCTTCGTGCTTATCAGCTCTAGCATGCTCACGGTGCGGCGGGTGATGTAGAAGCGGTTGAGGAATTCCTTTTCCAATTGCTCCCAACTGTTGATGGATTCAGGCTCTAGGTCCGTGTACCACTCAAAGGCATTTCCTTTCAGCGAGCGTACAAACTGCTTAGCGAGGTAATCTCCTTCTGTCCCCGCGTTGTTGCAAATCTCAATGAAATGGGCGACGTGTTGCTTCGGGTTTCCCTTTCCATCGAACTGCATGAACTTTGGTGGCTGATATCCCCTTCGCATCTTCAAAGCGTCAATTTTCTTGGAGTAGGGTTTTGAGTATAGTACGGAGTCATGTGAACTTCCTTCGTACTGTGCCTTGATGATGCTAGCGATCATCTCTTGCAGCTTTTAGATAGAAAAAGATCTCATGAGTGCCGCTGCTTGGCCTGGCTCCAGCTTCACATCGATTTTCTCCACCAGAGGCTCTTCATCCTCGTCGTTTTCCTTCTTTACTGAATCATCCCTTTGCTCGATTTTCACGTCGGGCTTTACATCTAGTTGGTTGACGAGTGCGGCGATTTGCTGGTCTTTTTCTTCCACAATCCGTGTTAGCCTTGCGATCGCTTCATTCATATGAGCCAGCTGCTCATCGATTAAAGTCGCTCCAATAGTCATGACTTTCATGGCTGAGTTGCCGCTTGAGTCGGCATCGGAAAGCATGAAACCAGAGTACTTCCTTGGGCTTTCCTTCCTTGGCGCCCTTAGTGAGGCCAGGGTGATCACAGGTTCGTGCCTGCTCTTATTTCTTCGGCGGAGTTGATGCAGGGGTGGAAAAGACGGCAGAAAGAGCTCTTGCCTTACTTCGAGTTATGACGCCCGAAGTGACACCACCTGCGGTGATGACGCTTTTGTTCCTTGCATTGGCTGCGAGAACAACTTGAGCCTTCTTTGATGCCATTTGTGCTTTTTGCGGATTCAAAGATAGAGATGAGAGGTAGAGATGATCCCACCGGGCGTGCCAAATTTGTAAACACGGAAATTCTTGCGATAAACGAGACAAGAACACGTGTAAAAAATAATATTTGTATTGATGATTTAGGGGTTACAATCTCTTCTACAAATTTAGCCTCTGATTCTATCTTTGTAATGGTGGATTTGATGTTGTTGGTCCAAAGGGCTGTCGGGGCTTGATCTTGGGATAAACAGTTGTGCGGATTTGTTGACGTCGTTGATCCAAAGGGCTGTCGGAGCTTGATCTAGGGATGAACGAATGATGATTGATGTACACTTTCTTCAAAGGCCGTCGGGGCTTGATCTTGAATTAGTGGAAGTTCTTCAAGGGCCGTTGGGGCTTGATTTTGAATGAGGATTTGACGAAGAACGAAGAGAGCTTTCTTGATCCTTCGGGATTTGCTTGGGAACTTTGGAGTTTCAAAGCTTTAAGGTTGTGGTGTGAGGTGAATTGGTTATGAATTGGTGTCCCAAAAATGAATGCCTTGGCCTCCTATTTATAGAATTCCAAAACTTGATTTTTTGGATTTAAATAATCAGATGAAATAAATCATTTCTGCCAGGTGTTGACACGTGTCCTGTTTGATGACTTTTCCGATTTATTTTGATTTTTCATTTAGTCACATGCTATGTGTAAAATTTATATGACACGTGAACGTTGAAATTTTAATTATTGATCAACATTTATTTCACCAAAATTTTGATGTCTACACATACGCTAAGCCTTGTGACCTGATCCCTTTTTATCTTTAACTGACGCCTGACCCATATGGGCCTCAGCCCACATCTCTCCCTCTAGACTAGGCACGTGCCTGAGCTTAACCTGCTAAGCATAGAAAGCCCAGCCCGCGGCCTAAGTCACAAGCAAGAGAGATGGCGCTCCACAACTCTTTCTCTCTCTCCCTCCACATTATAGCAGGCCCGAGCCCAGCATGTTGTTCGCCTCTTCCACTTATTATCACCTTTGCTTAAGGCGTTGAGCAACCTATGACGAGATCTCAGCTGCTCCACACCATCTTGTATACCTGACTAACCCATGTTAGATTCAGGCATCCAGAAGGAGCTCGAGCCCCGTGGTTCGCTCCGCACTACACCCTAGCGCCTTAAGCCAATGACCCAGCTATGCAGCCGTCTTTTGCTTCAATCGAGCCAAGTAGCCTAAGTTGTGCCCCTGCCATGCTTCCTCATCGGCTTACACCGAGCCAACTCTTGGCCCCTGCCAGCCGATGTGCCACACCACCTCGACGACTGCCCCGTAGTAGCACCACCCGAGACGAATGAGAAGAAAAAATAAATTTCTTTTTACTTTGGTACGGCACGAAGAAGAACAACAACAACGAGAAACGACTATTTGCAAGGGCAAGAGAAGAAGAGAGCTAGGGGAGGGGGAACAAATTTCATCTATTATCCCTCTTCATTGTTGGAATGAAGATTGTTCTTCAAATTTATTTAATTCTTTGCTTAAGGCAGGATTAAATAGGTGTTGGGGCAATTGGTTTCCTTTTCCTAGAAGAGTCTATCTCCAAGTCAAAGAGCGAGATCTACATCAAATTAGGAAAGAACTCTACACACCCATATAGCTTGGGACTTTTACACCTACTGCCTTTTTCCTACATGCAGCCCAGCAGGTGTGGGGGCATTTGTGAAGCCTAAAATAATCCCAAAAATCCTAGAGGCGACACGTGGACTTTGTTTAAGAAAGACAAGATTTAGCTACTCCTAAAAGCCCTAAACACTTACTCTTTTTCAGAGAAACTAATTTAGGCATCAGAGATCCATTGGTCTAACCCCTCCCCCCAACCTTGTGGGCGCGTGAGGCTTAGGTCTTTAATCAAATGGGTTGATTGTTTTGCAAGTGCATTTTTTTGTCAAAACTAGAGACACCGGAAAATTGCATCGACAACACTAATGCTGCACAAAATGCTAATAAAAAGGTAATAAAAACTTATGCTGCACAAAATGCTAATAAAAAGTATTTTGCACAAATGATAATCAAAAGTATTTTGTACATAAGGTTTATAGAGCTGAAATTCTTTAACACTATGTTTGGATGAAGAAATTTAAAATTATTAAGGAATTTTAAAATGACGGAAATTGAAATGACTAGATTTATTTTCTAGAATTTGTGAATTTTTTTTGTTTGGTTAACCTAAATGAACAATGGAATTGAATATGAAATTTGTTATTTTTAAACTCTCAATCATAAAAATTGGGAAATGACACTTATTTACATAAAATTTAAATTTGGAAATTTGAGGTCCCAAATTCTTTTTCCAAGTGGAAATTCTAAAATTTCTATGTTTATGAATCTAAACAAATGAATTGGTGCAAGTCAATTTATAAATTCTAACTTTAATCCAAATTCCAAGTTTATCTCCCTCATCCAAACATAGTGTAAAGATTCTATAAAACTGATGCTGCACAAATGCCAAGTGATTAATAATCCATTAACTAATTGCTAATCCATTATCCTTTTAATAAACTCATGTTAAGTGATTCTGCATGATTATGTAAAATTGATGATGCACAAATTTTAATCAAACGTCGAAAATTATTAAATGTTTATAGCGGGTTCCCCCATCCCCCAAACTTATGTCAACTGATTCTCCATGATTTTATAAACTGATGTTGCACAAATTTTAATCAAATGTTCAAAATTATTAAATGTTTGTTGGGAGAGTTCCCTCCAATCCTCCCAAAACTTATGTCAACTGATTCTGCATGATTTTATAAACTGATGCTGCACAAATATTAATAAAAAAAAGTTTACATTCTAAATAAAACTAATTCATAATCCATTATCATTCTAACAAATATACATGATAACTATACTGCAAAAAACAAAAGGAACTCAATAAAAACAAAGCGGCACAATGAAAAACCACCTTTGCCAACACTCGATCACAAAAACTGAATCAAAATCTTCAAAAACTAAAAACCATGCCTGCAAAAGGCAAAATCAATAAATAGAAACTCAATGCGTACAATAAAAAACTGAAAAATCAGATACTCGTTTCAAAATCTAAATTGAAATAAATTAAAAAAACACACAACTCGTTCAAAAATCTAAATCGGATCAAAAACTTGAGAAAAGAAAATTTTAAAATAAAACCAGAAGAACAACTTATCTTCGAATAAACTTGAGAGATAAACTTTAGAGATGAAGAAAAATAGCAGAGAAACGAAAAAGAAATTGAATGATTCGAATAGAAGAGAGTAAAGCTGAAGCTATATTTCCGTCAATCTCAGCCGACCACGTTTTAACAAGAAAGGAAGAGTAAATATGTAAATTCGTTTTTAACGCAAAAACAAGACATGATGTCATCTTACACAGGTTTAAAAATATCCCTCCTTAAAATGTTTAAAAAAATGTAATTTCAATGTATAATTAAGTATTGAAAGTATACGTGTAATTTTTCCTAAAAATAAGATTTTCAAATTTCATGTAATAGAACTTCCTAAAGCACAACAAATATCGTAAAATATTATTTGAAAAAATTGTAAATATTTACCTTTTATGAAACCAAAAATCCAGAAATAAGAAAAAAACCACGAGGCGAGACCTTGAGAGCGAGAGCAACCAAGAAAGAAAAGAACGAGGAGAGAGAAAAAAGAAAGAAAAGAAGAGAGAGAGAGAGAGACACAGAGAGTATTAGCAGAAGCGATCGAGCTACACAGAGCGGAAGTTCGAATATAAATCAGCAAACACCCGAAAAAAAGAAAGCAGTCAAGAAATTTCAAAAAATAAAATTACAGAAAAAAAGCCCCGGAGAGAGAGAAAGCGAAAGGCAAAGCTCCGAAGTCACTGAGGTTCGATTTTTCTCTGCAATTCGTCGAAACTCGATAAGGTCAGAGTCCAATCAATCTCCCAAAAGCCCTCTCTCATACACATTCTCCGAGCTTGTCACTATTTAATTTCTCTGTGTTTTTTTTGGCGCTTCATCGCGCTTTATTGTTTCCGTTCGAATTCGATTTTCCTGCAATTCGAGCTCCGTTTCTTCGACTTCAATCCGCCCAAGTTACTGATCTCGTTCCCCCGACTTCAAATTTCGCGTCTTGAAGTTGAAGCTTGCGAATTGGGGGAAATTAAATTCTGGGTTCGGATTGGCGGGGTGGTGTAATTCAAGTTTGCGAGGAGTTCGAACCGCTTTTTTTGGTGATTCGAAGTTAGGGTTTTTTATTTGTGATGGTTTTTGATTAATTAAGCTTGATTGTGTATAGTTTTGTTGGGATTTAGAGAGCTTTGGTACTTGGTTTGATCTCTAGGGTTTTGGGATTGAGAAGATGGGATTTGGGTTTGCATTGTATTGTTTGTGGGCTGGGCAATTTGGGGTCGTTTGGAAACAGGGTTAACCGAATTTGGATTCGAGTTTGGGGGTTTTGGGTTTTTTTGATTTGGTGGATGGTTTGCCTTTGTTTGTCGGGATATGCAGAGTTTGGAGGATTGATTTGCAATGAATGATATGAAGGAATGCAAATTCTGGGTTTTCTGGAAACAGTAATAACGGTAATTTGTCTTCTGGTGCAGTTTCGGGGGGATTACTTGTTTGTTGTGGATGGTGTATGAATCTGTTTCTTGAGAAATGCAACCTCAGCAGTTCTCTAGAATTGATTTGGGTGATCTGAAAGCACAGATAGTGAAGAGAATTGGGGCCGATAGGTCAAAGCGGTATTTTTGTTACTTGAATAGGTTGTTGAGTCAGAAGCTGAGCAAGAAAGAATTTGACAAGTTGTGTCACCGGGTGCTCGGGAGTGAGAACTTGCCACTGCATAATCATTTTATACGGTCAGTCTTGAAGAATGCATGCCACGCAAAGACCCCACCACCAGTCTTTTCATCGGTTCCTGCAAAACCTGGGATACAAGCTGCAAACAGTTCTCCAAGTAGAGAAGATGGGCAGGAACAAAGCCTCTTTCCGCATCAAAATCAAAATGTACCTGGTTGGTCGAATGGGGTATTGCCGGTGTCCCCACGAAAGGGTAGGTCTGGGATACGCGAACGGAAGCTAAGGGATAGGCCAAGCCCACTTGGACCAAATGGGAAGGTAGATAGTGCATCACATCATTCCACGGGTTTAGAGGATAATGGTGGTAAGGTTATTGTGGAAAACGGGGATGTGCATCCATTTGATTATCAGAGACCAATGCGACATCTTCAACCTGTTGCTGAGCTACCTGAGAGTGAAAGAGATGGTGCAGTTGGGGAAAGACCACGGATACACAGCAAAGACCAGGCTGACTTAGCTGTTATTGATCACGAGGAAGAGGGAGAACAATCAAACTGCTTGAGTTTCCCAAGAAGTCCTCTACTTGCGCCACTGGGGATCCCGCTCTACCCAGCCAGCGTAGGTGGGGCCCACAAAGCTTTTCCAGTTGGTAGCAGCTGTGATATTGTTAGCTATTATGACAGTGGGGGATTGTCCGATACGGAAACACTTAGAAAACGCATGGAGCAGATTGCTGCAGCACAGGGTCTTGGTGGAGTTTCTACAGAATGTGCCAATATGCTGAATAATGTGTTGGATATATACTTAAAGCGATTGATTAGATCCTGCGTTGAGTTGGTGGGAGCAAGGTCTACACCAGAGCCAAAAAAGAATGCTGCACCAAAGCAGCAGCAGATTCAAGGAAAGATTATCAATGGCATGTGGCCAAGCAATCACATGCATATGCAGAGCAGCAGTGGGCCTGTGGAAGAGCAAAGACCTCAGTGTTCAATATCTTTCCTTGATTTTAAGGTTGCAATGGAGCTAAATCCACAGCAACTTGGAGAGGATTGGCCGTTGCTGCTGGAGAAGATTTGTATGCAAGCATTCGAGGAATGAAAGATCCTTGTGAAGATAAATTTATCCCAAAGTTGTGGTTGGGTCGGTCTGTTCTGGTTCAAAGGTCCTGAGATCACCAGTTATTGGAGATTATGGGTTCAAATAATTGTAATCTCATTGCCAGGACGCACCAGATGGTTCCTATGTGGGTAAAGTTCCGGGTATTGCATGGGGAAATCATCTGTTTGAGCATCAAATGTCTGTAATTGCTGGCTGCGGAGCCAGGACTGATCCACAATTATCTAACTGCAACCGTTCAAGGGCGTTTCAAACTGAATCCCCATGTTTGGTTGTTCTGTTGTATGTGTAACATAGATGCTGCTGTATTTGCTACCGCTCCAGACCTCACGCTTTTGTGTAATTGCAGCCAGTGGAGAAAATATAAGAAAATTTTGCAGGGGTACTGTTCTGTTGCTCGGTGAGAGGTATAATTGCTTGTGTAAGAGCTGCAGTATCCTCTGTATGTACTTTAGAATCTTAAAATTGATTTAAATTTCAATATCAATAACACATCGACATCAATTGAGTTGTCCTTGATTGCATGAGTTTAACTTTAGTGTTCATAAATGACACTCAAAGTAATTATCTGCCAAATTATCGTTCTCTGCTCATCTGTTCTAGTTGACATCTGCATGCACACACCGAAACACAATATTTCTAATTACTGTAATTTTTTTAGGTAAGCAGCTTAATTTTTTTTTCCTGTTAATTCTGATGTCTGATTCAAATTTGACAATTTTCTAGTGTTCCGACCCAGCTTGTTAAATTTAAAGTGGAAGCTTGAGCTTCATCATGAGGAATATAAGCAAAAAATTAGAAGTACAAGGAGAAACAAAATGAGTGAAATCTATATAAATATAACTAAATCAAATGAAAAGAGGAACAGTTGTTAATATGCAAATCTTTGGCATGATTCAAAACTTATCTGATTCGGGTTGTTTCGAGTAAACCCGCTAGTATATTGATTTACGTTGCAGTATCATGCTGCAGATGAAAATAATTCTATGAAATGTATGAGATATGTAATATAGCATCGGGCGTGTACTCAATGATGAAGAAATGGCACATATTTGGATACATTTTTGGTATGAATTCTGGAATTATGCACTCCTCTCACAGGTATGGAAATTGATTCCTGGATTATTGCTTTGTATGTCCCATGCGTTCTCATTCTTTTCCATTTTATCAGTCATATAATCCTTGCTTGTCAACATGCATTTGTCTCATCACCATTTCTGCCTTCTTTTCTCGTACTATTTTTGGACCAGGTTTCTTAAGCACTGTTGTTTTCCAAGCCTGAATTTGAAATTCCGATCCATCGTTGTAAATTAATTTTGGTATTTCCAGTTCTGGTGGGTCAGTTCAGATTTGTATTTTCTGGCGAAACGGATTACAAATTTGATGAGTCAGTTTCACAAATTGCTTGAATCTGAGGGTTACTTTTCTGCATCTTTCTTATTTTTTGGTAAACTAGTTTTCCGCATCTTCATTAAACAACTGTTCTGCTATTCCTCGGAAGCTTCAGATTCATACGAAGCAGAACCTAGTTCTTGGTTATTAACCGTCTATCTTGGTTATCGTATCTTTGACCTCTGTTCTAATGGCTAAAACACACGGAGTATAATTCGTCAGTTATAAACAATGAAAATCCAATCATTTGTGCTTTTGGGAAAATGGAGCAAAAGCAGAATCCCTAGGTTTCTTCAACAGATTTGATGTGGCTGTTGGGATCATGTTCATAGGTCACTTGTCTTCCGAACTGTTGTCGTTGGTTGTTTTTTATGGGCCCCGACACATCCTCGGACTTACGTCACAACAGCTGCTAGGTTTTCAGTGGAATGGAAAAAACCAGTGTGAGATATTTGTGGCTTCATTTGACAGAACCGGATCCCCTCCGGATTCAAAGGAACTTAGTCCACTCATCAAATGATCCGGGCTATTGAAATTTAATCCAACGGTTACAAACATGAAGTTTTCCAAAAGTTATAATAATTGTAACCGTTGGATCAAATTTCAATGGTCCGAATCATTTTATCTTTGGGCTTAGTTCCTTTGGATCCGGAGGGGATCGGGTTCCTCATTTGACGTCAGAGACCATGGTTATCTGGGAACTTGGAAGCTCATGGAAACCTTCAGTTATTGCATTTCCGCAGTGGATAAAAAGGTTGTGGAAATTTTTTTTGAAATGGTATCATATGATTTGCATACTCCTTTTGACTTTTGGGCTGTTTCCTGGTTTTGCATTATTCATCTTATGTTGTTTTTTCTTATGTAACGTGTCGCACACCTCTCCATTTGTTTCTCTCTTCGCATGACTGCAAACGTTTTAAGGTGCTTGGGATACTTTGAGATTTTTAACTACAGGTCTTAATTTTTGTATTTTTGAACAAAGTTTTAACAGTTAAAACATTCCGAGTATGCAATACTATGGAGTACCATAGAAAATCACCACATGACTAACCATGCGATGAAAGAGAGAAAGAGAAGAGGGTATACGACATGGGATAGGTAAGTCGGGTCTCCGTTACTGCGACTTAGGTTTTCTTCTCCGTTTAATTTATTGGTTATGAGTAATTTATGTGGATCTATTCTAATAAAGAATTAAAAAATTCTAGAGTACAACAATAATTTCGAGTTATATTAAATTTAGCTAATGGACATGCACTTAAGAATTTGAGAGAATTTAACGGGTCGACCTGAGTCGCATAAAAGGACAAGCATGAGCATGTACTTAAACATACAAACAAGTACAATATGGGACCAGTGAAGTGCCGGCAGCAGTTTGGATTTTGGAACATCAAATGTTGGCTTTATTTACATGCGACATTTCTGGGCAGTACCGAAGTCGACTGATCCTTCCCATGCTTGCAGCTGTGTCATCCCTAATTTTGGGAACAACGGAAACCGAATTTTAGGATCTAACTCTTTCCCATGTCACTTGAGCAAACACTCGACAGTACCAAAATTGTTCTGTCGGACAAATACCGTAATTTAACTGTTTGGTCGAAATCGGAGTTTTATAGCCCTGTTTTTGCAGCCTCAATTTCAAAATTTTGTTCAAGATCAAATTCCGACGACGCTCGAAGGCCACGAGGCATCAGTGTATTTGAAGCAAGTTCGAAAACCGATCATTGCCAGAAACAGTTGGGAAAACTAAAAATTCCAACACTTACGAGCATCGAAATGATGGCAACTAAACTGAAAACCGAAAAAGAAACACGTTTGTAGAAACAGCACCACTTTGTATGTATTCACAGTTCCACAAGTGAATGCGGATTCTAAGACCAACAGCTTGGATTTATTCGTTGAATGGGACAAGATGAAAGAGAATCGATATGTACATCGAAACAGTAAAATTCAAAAAGAAGAAAGATGAGGAAGTTTCTCCTCCAAATGATTTAATGACTGAATTATGTGGAGGGTGGCGAGGGAGAGGGCGAGGGTGCTGGAGCTGCTGCTGCTGCTGCTCCTTTGCATATAGGGCACCAATTCTTAAGCCGCAGCCACTGGTTTACGCAGACAACGTGAAATCTATGCTCGCACCGCAATCTTCCAACTTCATCTCCAGCCACGTACTCTTCCTGTAAAAAAGATAGACCGATAAGCATTACTCTGCATCTATACAGAGTAAGATTCAACTAGTATTACCCGAAAACAAGTTTTAAGTATATCTGATTAGATCCACTATGAGCTTTATGATATGTGAAACAACATTTGGAAGCAAGCTGAGCTAGTTCTAACTTCCAACTTAACCAAGGACCTGACTTGCCCTAGTGCAGGTTCAGGGTGAAAACTTCCAGGGGCAACCCCTCTACGGTAGCATTAAATAGTCATCGGGTGCTCAATTATCTTAAACTCAGAGGTGCTGGTACACATATTACACTTGGATTTAAAAGAGCAAAAGAAGATCGGAGCTATTCGACAAGGACCTGGCAGATACTGCATTTGACATCCGCCTTCTTCCCATCGCAGCTTACGGATGCATCTTCTTGGGGTGTAAACTGATAGATGCTTTTCTTAAGGCAATCGGACAATGCTTCTTCTGGCAATGCTGTGCTGACGGTACCCATCCTCTCTTCTAGAGCTAATAATTCCTGACATCCAAGCAGGCGAAAAGCGTAAATGAAACAGATGAAGGTAAAAAGTTGCACCAATTATAGTATTTTAAACCGAGCATTAGTTGATTATTCGAATTGATTTGTTACAGAGGCGCTGATGATAAAAAAAGGTTCAGATGCACCCTGACCAGGCAGAATATTGTTCAAACATAAAGGAACAATGAGAGATACTACAGATTATATCTATGTGAAATGAATAGCAGTGCTAGCAAACCTCATATGTCATGTTGTCGATATCCAGTCTCATGTCTCTGTGCTGATCGTAGAAGTTTAGGCCATTCAGGAACAAATTGGTCTCAAGAACAAGTATTTGCTGAAATATGGAAAAAGAACAGTTAAAGAACAAAAATTTAAAAATGCGAACACAAAAGTCTATAATAAGCTAATAACAACCTCAAATGTTAACTCCTCATCGTGTTCAATTCTCTCAAGTGCTAGCAATACCTGCAAAATTGTTTGAAATAAACAGATTAAGAATGACGGCACAACTATGTCAATTCTTTTGTGCTCTCTCAGATACAAGGCAACATGTTGTAAGACCACACAAATGTTCATCAAAATTTCATACAATACCTCTGCTATCCCATCCATGTTGTAGCGTCGCAGTCCCTCCTGGTTCCTTAGAGAGCGGGAAAACCCAACATCTGAAGCACCAGCTCGCAGAATGCCATGTAAAGTCCCACTGCTACTGCCTGGCCGGCTATAAGAATTCGGCCGAATTAAAGGAACTTCATCAGATGACCGTTGTGATGAACTAGAAGCATTTGAGTTGATAGACATTTCAGGTTCAGACGTATGTGGACCTGCAGAGGATCCACTGGATGACGAATTGTTTCCACTTCCTTGATTAGGAAGCAGCTTTCCCCTCGAGTGACTAGTGACAGTTCTCCGAGTCCTAACTGATGCAACACCATTGTTATCCCTGTTAGAAGGCATATTTCTAGCTCTTCTTGAATCAGAAGTTGAGATGCCATGGCTAGAACTGGGTTTTTGTGCTGACGATGACCCATTCATTTTCTTCCCCTTAGCAGCAGAACTACTTTCTCCTTCGGAAGTTCTTCGCTTTATGGTCTCTCTCTGACCAAGGCTTGAATCTGATGATGAACAACTGGAAGGGACAACGTCAGATACTGAATTACATCTTAGATTTCTTAAACCATTCCTGGCTGTGCTAGCCCGTGTCTGGATGATGTTTTTAGATCCCATAGAAACATTAGAACCCACTATGGAATCTTGGCTGCGCAATCCAGATCTCTGATTGAAACTCCTTCGAGATCTTGTATTTGATGCGACACCAGAGCTTCCAACTTCCATCAAAGTGACTTCACTAGACACAGAATTTTGAAATTCAGGGTGAAGCCCTCTTTGAATCTTTCCAGGTGGCGGAGTGATTTCTGAAACTTCTGGATCATCCTGAACACTACTGGTTTCAGATGAATCAGTTTCCAAATTAGAACATAGCTTTTTGCAAGGTTCTGCAATGGACTTGCTTGTGTTGCCAACACCAACGCAAGACCTCGAGGAACTTCCAATTATCTCTTTCCCACTTGACGAAGAGCGAAATACTGGCCTTGAAGGTTTGGCCTTTTCAATTTGAGCACTTTTTACAGAGTTCAATCTTCCACTACATCCCAACCGGCTACAGAGCTGAGCATTGCGGTCTCTATTGGGGGTTTCCCTTAAAACAAGACCAGATCCCTTTTTAGAGACGAGCCCATCAACAGCTCTTTTACCAAAATACTCATCCATGTATGTCGATCGCATGTTTCAATTCTGTAAGAACAGTAACAAAAAAAAATTTAAGATCTTCGATGCCATTTTCAAAGTAAAATGACAAAAATTTCCAAGTTCCATGAAGAATGTTAGTGAGAGACAATCTAGATCTAGAAGGTGAAGTATCATATAAGAGTCAAAGAATCCTTGGTACTCATAATTGGCAATTTCTTCGGAAGGGGGAAAAACAAGGAAACAAGAGTGCAGACATTGCATAACTAATAGTCCTGAGAACAACTGCAACGGACAGGTTTAAACAAAACAAAATATGTTTCCTATGCAGACAGTATGTTTCATGCAAGCACTATGTCTCATATGTAGGTAAAGCTAAACACAAAAATGTTCACAGAGAAATGAGTCACTAGTTTGTCATCGCTCATGGAAAATAACAAGAATCCAATGTAAAACAAAAAGCTACAAATAATCCGCCAAAAACTCATCGCATAAATGAGCAAAACTTGGAATCTGATTGAGGTTGTAATTTCAACAATCTTACTAAGGTCAGATTTCAAGATTTTTTCATGACAACAAAAATTGGAGGCCAGATATATTGATGCATTTCCTCTACTGGAAGTAATAGCCCGCCCCACAAACAAGTTTCCTAGCCAGAGACATGGAATCCTTATTCAACTATAATCTGCTGCGATGAAACATTATAAGAGAATTTTGTTACTTTACCATAGCCACTTGTTGATCATTCCATCATACACGATTAACTGCACTCGATAACTATTTCGAAATTCATCATCTGTACTAATGTCCACACTACAAATATGTCCATTATCAACAATTTTGTATCCTAAGTCAAAACCATATCACACAAATTCCAGAACTCAGAGCACTAGCAATACGCGAAACATCGAAACGAGCATAATTTCTATGCAGAAGACAACATAATAATTAAGAAAAAACACAAAACATGCACACAAAAAAAAAACAAAAGATGATTAGAGGCTCAAAAATGCAGGATTAAGCACTAAAAAACAAGAATAAGCAAATTAAGACCTCTGTCGGCATTAGTTGAGTCATTGATGATACAAAGAGAAACCCAACAACCCAAAATTTTAATTGTGTCAAAACATAAAAAGGAAGAAAAGCAAGGGTTAAAAAAAGGACTCCAGATGGCCACATGCCCCATAAAATCATCCCAAAAAAGTGGCCACAAACCCCTTTTTTCTTGAATTATTCTCCACACAATGATCCTATTTTCTATTTTCATCAAAGACTCTCTCCCCGTGATTTAAGGACTTGAAAGAAACAAAGAAAAAAAAGCTGAATTTCCTGAAAAATAAAAACCAGTGAAAAGGAGGGAAACAAATGTTTATCATGATTTCTCCTCCATATATTCCCACAAACCAAACAGAAATCTTCGCTTTTGGACTTGAAAAGTGCTTATTTTTTATTGATAAGGAAGAAAACCAAGCTGGAAAAATTGATCAGAATTCCTCGCCAAAAATTATAATTTTGAAAAAAAAATTTAAAAAGTTTGGAGGCAGAAGGAAGCAGATGATGATGAAGCAAACCCAGCAGCTATCCAATACCAAAAACGATAATACCCAGATGGAGAAATTTGAAAAATTTAGAAGAAAAGCCAATACAAAACGATAATAATTGAATTTAGATAGGAGTTAAAGAAGTAAACTTGATAATCCGATGTTCTAATTCTACCTATTTCTTCCTTCTCTTCCTTCTTCTTCTTCCTTTGAATACCCAGAAGCCAAAAGTTGAAGCTTTTTAAGACTCTAGAGAGAGAAAGGAAAAGGCTTTTCCTTTTAGAGAGAGAAGGAGGTAAAAACGCCTGTGTGAAGAGAGAAGTCCCTTGTAATATTGGACTTCCATTTTTTTTTATATATATAATTTTTAATTTTTTGGAGTTAATTTCTTTCCAGCTTTGGAAGGTTAACTGGAACAAACAACAGCCAAAGTGTAGTGCCGTCCGGATGAGAAAGTGAGTTCGGAGATATGTGAGTCGTTGGATCATATAAAAGGTCAACGATCGACGGCTGCAGGGGATCAGCTGCCGGCCAACCTCATACTATTTTTTCTTCTGTGGCCATTTTTTAATTGTTGTGATTAAGATTGTTTTATTTATTTAATTATTTTTCAGGTCCAAGTAAATTAGAATCCACCTTGAGGTTGAAGACTTCAAATGGGTCTCTGTCGCTTTGCTTATCAGATTGATTGTTTTTTATGTATGTGTGAATAAGTGAGTCGACTTATGTGGATGAAAACTACATATTCGTATAAAAATACACTATCTATCCATATAATAATTTTACTAACTCGTTACCGTGTTAATGTACATATAACTTTATGTTATGTCAAATCAAATTAAATACAAAAATTATGTGGAAAGGAATTTGAAAATCTAACATATTCTTTTACATGAAAAATATTCTTATGAGTCAAAGCAAGAGCGCAACTACAAATAAGTATAAGCGATTTAGATTAAAATCTGCACAAAAAATAGAGGAGTACCATAAACTAACAATTGAGAGAAAAGTTGAGGTCTTAGTTGATCTCGAGGTTTGTAATAGGCTGGGCATTTTAGAGAAAAAAAAAAAAAAAAACCAAATGAAGCTGCTTGGTTTAGTTTGGTTTTTTTTTTATTTTTAATTTTTGATGGTTAAGCCAAATCGCACCGATCTTAATTGGTTTGGCAATCGATTTCCAAAATTCTTAAGGTGCGGTTAACCAAACCAATATGCATATATTTAATCTTATTTCTTATCACAATTATTATGTGTGGTAATATAAATGGTTATTTATTTACGAGTTACCGTGTTTCCATCACCTAAAAACAAAACATGATTAGTTTAAGAGTCCGAAGAACAGGGGGACCATTTGGAGAAGGTAGCAATTGCTGCTTTGGTTTCTTCTTGGGCTGCTTCATTTGAGCAATCACTCATATTAGTGCTACGTTCTATAGCTTTTCTAAGAGAAATTTGTTATGTATTTTCTTCTTCACACAAACCGAAAATCGACCCAAACCAAACAACCACTGTCAGTTAATCGACCTGATCGGTTTTAGACCCAGCTTGGTCGATTTTGATTTGCAATTTTGGCCCAACCAACCAGATCGGTTTGGTTTCAATTTTGACCAAAACAAACCCAAACCAACTCACGCACACCCCAAATTTTTGTATAGAATTCTACTAGAAATTGAAAATCCTAATTGGCTAAGAAGACATAGAGATAAATATTAATCCGATAGGAAAAACGAACTTGAAACCTTATTGGACAAGAAAACACGTAATTATCAAAAAAATTAAACCCTTTTTTTTAAGCAACATGGGAGAAAAACTTGAAATGTCTTTGACAACGAATTGTGTTCAACATCTACCATTATTCTTATTAGGAGGGTTAATAACGATAGTAGTACCTTTCCTCTTTTTTGGTTGTTTCATGTATATCTAAAATATATTTTCCTTTTACATAAGAGTAGGTCTTCAATAGTAATTTGACTTTATATTCATTAGACTAAAAAGTGAGTAAAAATCTTGAAAAAAAAAATTAGTAAAAATAGTATTTTCTCAAATCAGTTCTGATTGTTTATCACGCGTAATGCTAAGTAGTTTGGACTCTTGAAGAAAAATTGTTAAATCAGACAAGCCAAAGCCTCTGTACCAATTACCATACCAAATGTTTGTTTTGACAAAATCCATTACCATTACCGTGCCAAACTTTCAGTATACCAAAATTCGGTATGCCAAATACTTTGGTTGGCATGTATGGTAATAGTAATTGTCACTTTGTTAAACATATATATGTGTATCACATTAAACTTAGTTATGGCATGGTTAAGTGACAAAATCATCTTGTTTGAAGACATGGTTATGGCGCTTGGCAATGTTGAACCCAACTATTTTCTACTTACAACATCCAGATCGCACCTACTCCTTCCGTATTACAAGAAGGTTCATAAACCCAATTAACCTTAAAACAAAACCAATTACAAAATCAATTAACAGAGATGGATGAGTGTGGAGTCGACGGCAGAATGGGAAAGTGTTCAAAGAGAAAGAACATGAGTTACTGAAGGGTTTCTTTTCTTTGCCTTTTTCTTTTGTCATTAGTTAGGTCAGGTGGGAGATCGAACCAAACAAATATTATAGATAATATTATACGCATATATGTTATATAAGTTATAAATCTACATTATTATATTTTTCGGTACGGTACGATAATCCTGTGGTAATGATATTGAATACCAAAACTGTACCATAAATTTTGGTTTGGTCCAATACCATGCCATTACCAATTGACACAAAATTGGTATTGTACAATTGGTAATTCAATTGGCATGGTAATTTCTAATTTGGTAATAAAATATGTTGGTACCATATCTTGGGCCTCATCCTTGGACCTCATTACTAAGCCCATAACCCATGTAAGAGGGGAAAAAACTCTTATTCTATAAAAGGGATCCTCCTCACCTTCACAAAGGAGAGCCTCACAACAATAGAGGGCAATACCCTCTCAGCCAAACAGAGAGCAAAATGGCAAGGGCTGCATCCACATAGAGCTCCCTTGCCGATCTATTGTAATCCATACATTTATACAGTGAAATGGAATCAACATCAGTGTGGACATAACCCAAACATTGGGGTGAACCACGATACATCTTTATATTCTTGTGCGTTTGTGTGATTCACGATCGGATTTACGTTGGTCCAAGATCCTCCGGATTTTGTGCATCAACAAAATCCATCCCTAATTTTTCCTAGTAACTAGATTATTTTAACTCAAAATATTTAATAAACAAGTTATTTTTTTTATTAAATACGATACTACTACTTTAAGCTACGATTAATAAGCCATTTAGTAAGTGTGAGGCTGTGCTCGAATCAAGCTTGATTCTCGTTAACGGTTTGTACTATATCAAATTAATATAGGATGCTCATTGTAAAGATGAGCTCAAACCATCACATTTTACTAAAATATATCGTTATATATAATCTACATTAAAAAGAGAAAAATTATTGGAACACAAACACAATGACTTGAAGCGAAAAACTCTAACCACTAATTTATTCACAAAATTTATTCACAAGTTAATTGGATTGGAAGTGTTGTGCATTTTATTTGCGACTCACTCATTCATAAGATAATTGTTTTTTACAAGGAGATGAGGATAATCGAACTAATCCCCAGATTCCAGGGTCAGAGATTTGCTTGGTAAGGACAAAATAGACGTCCATTTAAAATTTTAAATTGAGTTTAATGAATCAAAATTCATCAAAAATAAAAAAATAAATAAAAAGAAAAGAGAATTTGAGTACGCAAGTTTTTTATCTACAAAAACAAAACCCGTGAATTTGTCAAGGATCAAATCCACAGAGTCTTGAAACTTGAAAGGATAATTTGGTGAGCACGATGTTCTTTATATTTGTGGATCCACACACTCATCACTTTTATTACCCCCAATAATATATTTGTTTTACTTTTTTTTTTTTACTACATTTTAAAGGATATCTGCCATTTCCACGAAAATACTTTTTTATGGGGTAAAAACGAAAATACATTTTCAAAGAAACTATTTTCATGTAATTTTGGATTTTTCTTTTGACAAATGATAGGATAATTGGCCAATGAAGGTTGACTTAGTTAGTAAGGTCTCATGTGATCCCCATCAAGGTTCAAGTCTCGCCATTTGTAGTTCTCATTGGTACACGATCTGTAAATTCCTAAGCATATCAATGGGGCAATGGCACCTTCCTACGTAAATCTATACTAGTGACACATACTGTAAGTCCTTCTGGTTCGAGGTTGTAGGTGTATCCAAGGGCTAGTGGTCAAAGTAAATAATCTCCTCATAAACTTTTTGTTACAAACAAATGTAAACTAAATTCATCTGAACAGTGATAGGAATTCAAACTTGACAACTTGGCTAAGCTTCGAATGCAATTTCAAATTTTGATTCAAGTCTTTTGGTTATTTTGGAGAGATTTTTCAAACCTAACATGTGTCCTAATTTAGGTGAAATAGTAACATTATATGGTCGTGTTCTTAGTATATTGAAAAATTGCTTTTAAAAATAAAACATATCAATCATATTATTCATCCACATTATAATACGTGCAATGATATCTACGTGATAAATTCATGTTGTTACACTTAAGAATTTCTCCCAATATCGGTACTAAATCTATGACATCACTCCATGCAATTATTTTGAAAATTCACAGCACATAAATTGAAGCAACTTGTTTGTATATGATTTTGACGTTTTGCTTGCACATCTTTCATGCGTTCAATTTCTATTTGCATCTTTCCCTCATCCATCGTAATAATAACAATAATAAATTACACAATGAAAAAGATGAAGGTAGCTTGCCCTAAATAAATACCCGTACTGTCTCTCCACCTTAATTTTTTATTTTAGCAGATCTGTTCTTTTAACTTACGTCTTTGCTGCAATATTACGCTTGTAACTTGTTCATGGATATTTTATGCAGGGCCATGAAATGAGTTAAATTAACAGACCTTTTTTTTTTTAAATTTATTTTAAAAGAAGAATTTAAATAAAGGTAAATTTACGTGACATTGCCGTCATTAAAATGTGTTTACTTGTTATTAAATCTGAAGTTGTCTTCTTTATTTTATTTATAAAAAAAATTTAATTTACTTTTGAGTTAGGAGACGAAACGATAATTATTTTATTGTTAATTTTTATTTTATTTTTTATATTAAGATTATATTGTATTTGGTATTAGTAGACAACTTTTTTTCATTAGTGTCTCAACAATTTTGGTAACTTCAAAGACGATGTTATATGCTTTTGGAACAAGGTATGTTCTTGAGTAGTTTCCACATGCTCAGTTTCCTTCTAAAATTATGTTAATAAACACCAATTTTATCAATAAAAAATATTGGTTAAATTCTAATTAAATCACTACTTAATCATTAGTTGGTGGTCCAGTGGTAAAAAACAGATTGCGAGACTTTCTTTAAATTAAAAATTGAAGGTCTTGGTTTCGAAACCTGATGTTGGTGTAAATGCCAGACTTGTGGCCAGGAAGAGGTTGAAATGCCCTTATGAGTCTTCCCAGCCCTCGAAATGGATGAATAACCTTGACGTATCACCAGTTGTCCCTCTTTTTTAAAAAGAAATTAAATTAAATTACTACTTGTGTCTTTAGTTTAGTGGTAAGAATTCCACATTGTGGTCGTGGAAGAGATTTTTCAATGTTCCTTTCACACAAAATGGTACACCATGTGTCCCTATATAAATGGTGGATTATGTGTGTTAAAAGGTTAATAACTTTAAAATTAAAATTTTTCACCACTTGCATAAAAACACGTGGTGTACCATCCGTATTCCTGTTACAACTAAAAATTAGACCTGAGGCTCGAATCCCAGCAGCCACATCCACATTATTTTTTAAATTTTATTTCTTGGTCCTTATAAGAAATCATAAATAATAATAAATTATTATTATTAGTTTATATACCAAACGAACCTCAAATTCTGGTAGTTATTTATTTATTAAATTGCCATGTGTAGCATGGAAAGGTAAACATCATCTCCTACCACACCACTACTTTGTGTTCCTCTTCTTAGTTAAATTAATTAAATTAAAAATGCTTAAAACCATAATATTACGAGTTAATGAAATTTCTTTTTCTTGTCGGAACGAGTTGATTAATTATTTATTTAGTTAATTTTAGTAATTGACTGCAGAATGAGAAGCAGGATGTGCCACAAATGGACTACATAAGAGCAATTGCACTATATTATATTTAAAGTAATAAGAAGGCTTATTTATACTTATGCCCCGTAAAACTCAATATGAGTCTCTTCATGTAACTCAAAATGCATAACTTAACCCCGTAAAATTCAACTTAATTCTCACTTTGGCCCATGCCGTCAAAATCCGGCAACGATGGTTCTAAAGGAGAGGGAGAGGGGGTAAGGGGATTTATTCTTATTTTAAATAATTAAAACTTGAGTTTTAAATTAATTGTTATTATTTTTAACTTTCTTTTACCAAATGGCACCCACATAGTATACTGTTCTGCAAAAAGTGAGTCTCATTTATGCCACATCACCAATTTTAACGGAATAGACATTACACTATGGACAAAGTGAAAATAAGTTGAGTTTATAGAAAATTAAGTGACATAACACAAGTTATATTGAGCAAAATAAGACTCGTATTGAGTTTAAGAGCGTAGACATAAGTAGGCCTAATACGAAAAAGCATTAGGGTTTAAACTTTAAGTTTAAAACATAATGAACACAGCAGGGATTAAAGCTTTATTCCACAACATATATAGGGCCACATCGATCTTTTTTATATGATATGTTATTGGCAAAATCTCCCAGTTGAGAAAATTATGTTGCTTTTTTCTTGTTGGGGTTTTATTTTTAATTTATTAACATTTTGCTAGGTGGTGATCTGATTAATTATTTAATTAATTGCTGGTGTATGGACCTAATATTCTTTGGTTAAATTTTTTTAATACTTGTGCACGTACGTAATCAACTTTTAATTAGGTTTGGAACCAATAATGATCCACCAGCACACTATTGTCCAAACCATAAGTAGATCAAATTACATTTAAGGAAACCACTTTTCTACGTTCAAACTACTTTCGACTTCTCATCCAAACCCACACACAAACAAACGATATAAAAAGAAACTGCTATCAACTCACGCAATTATATAATGGTAATGATCATGGGAAGGTAAGTAATTTTGTAGTGAAAATTAGATAAAAATTGCTCCTAGGATAATGTATTGTAGGGACGGATCGTGACATCACTTTTTTACACAATTGTTGACATATGTTTTTGTAGAGCCCATTTCGTAATGTATTTCAACCATCCGAACCGTTTATTTTTTAGGTCTTCCCTAAAAAATTATGTCTACCAAAAATCATCAATTCTAAAACCATATGATCATTGGATTAAGATGTAAGGTTTCTTTGTAGAACCGTATTCGTCAATTTTTTTCACTACATACGAATGTCTTAATGGTATTGGATTTGTCTAACTTTTTGTAAGGACGATCTATTAATGATGTTCTAAAAAATAATCAGGTTGGATCATTAAAATACAATACAGAGTGTACCTCATTAAAATGTGTGTCAAAAGTTATATAAAAAAGTGGTGTACGGATTCTTCCCCATATATCATATGATGAGGTTTACGGTTTTCTCCAACGAAATAGATTTTGTGGGATTAGGTGCATGGTTTAAATGACCGGTTGATGATCACAATATAGTCAGTTAACTGGACATTCGCATCCCACAACTACACGCAAGATTTGTCTATATTGAAAAACTCTTACTGATAGATCAGTTTAATATAAATTGATTTTATAGAACGATAATCAAAATTGAACTCTAACTAACTTCTAATTTACTTGCAAATTTTTTTCTAATGTTATAGAGAACTTAGATGTTAGAGAAATCTCAAGTTCGATTTTCCATCCTCAGTTCAGAAAACCATTGAAAGGATGATCCAAATAAAAAAAAAATGTTGGTGTATTGAGTTTGTTGTCATCCATTGATGATGAAGGTGGCCTTTACACATGTTTTATAAACGATGAGTTTGGTGGAGATATCATCACGTTTAGATTCCGGTTGATCAAGTTCTTATAGCATCCACTCATTATTTCAGATTATGTCAGATTATGAGCAAAATAATGTGGGCACACAGATCGTTCAGACATTGTTTTATTTTTCCCTGTGATTCTTACATCACAATATATGTAATTGCTTTTAAGGATTTTTTGGTGTTTAAATTATATTTGACTCTTTAATTTTAAATTAATACTCGATGAAATTTAAGAAGCTGATTGATTGTAAATTAAAATTATTTTGATTGATTTTGACCAAGATTTGTAAACTTAATTTGACCTGATACTGACTCTGAGTGTTTTATATCCTTGACAGTACTGTGCATATAATGTATACATATTTCTCATTTAAAATTATGAAGGATTATGATTCTCTCTTATCCTCTTTTCATTCATTTTCATCTCCTCCTCTCACATTTTCTATACTGTGCATATAATGGATACATATTTCTCATTTAAAATTATGAAGGACTAAGATTCTCTCTCATCCTCTTTTTATTCATTTCCATTTCCTCTTCTCACATTTTATATTTTGTCTTTCTCTTTCTATAAAAAATTAATATAAGATGTGGACGTGACTTAATCGTGACCATTCAAATAGGAGGGGAGGGATGGGGAGGAAAAAAAAAAAGAGGGGAGAGAATCATACTCCAATTATGAAAGTCCTAACTCTTGATCAATCCAACATCACGATCAAGCTAGTTAGCTATTAGAATATGAGCATCGAACACAATATTAATGTTGATATCAATGCCAATGCACATTCAATTTTGTGTTTAAGAACTGTTGGCTTGATTCATAGTCGAGAATTTAGATAACAAACATGATTTGGATCCTCTATCTTTTTTCTTTATTATTATTATTATTATTATCATCATCATCATCATCATCATCATCATCAATAGAGAAGTTTAGAGAGAAATTTGAACCCGAAACTTCTTTCTTGACCAAGAGCTAGCTAGTATAAATCAACATGACCATGTATTAACATCTAAAGATCATCACATATAAGAGAGAGATTTTGTTGTTTGAAACAACACAAGAATCTTCCACCGACAAAAGTTGAACTCATGACCTTCATTAACAAAACAAAAACTAAACGCTTTTAAAACGAAATGATCGTTGATAAAGCGAGGTTTTGTTTTGCCGGACACTTTTATTTTCAGCTAGAACCCTTGTATAAGTGTTTTTAGAGACACTAAACTAATGTCCACAATTAATTAACGTCTTCTGTTAAAGTTAATAGAAAGATCAGTTTGCAATTAAATTATTAATTACGAAACAAAGAATAGGTCAACCTTTGCCACATGTCTCGAATAATATTGTTCCATACTAATTAAACAAAATAAATTAGAATTATTAGATGATTTGATTTCATGGCCTCCAACTAAGCTTGATTACCACACCATCACCACCACCCATACCCAGTTTTGGGCGCACGTAATTTTCGCTTGTTTTTATTTCTCTTCCAACCAATCTCTTTCTCTTCCTTCATATATTCATCACCTTCCACACCATTCTCTCTTGTTCTATGAATGATTTTCTTATAACTCTTCCTTCAACTTTGGCTTCAATCAAGGTACGTTTTTCTTTTTGTTCCTACAAATTTACTCTTTCTTACGCCATATGCTTTTGCTTTTGTTTTTGCTTGCAATTTGGGTTTTTAGATTGTGGAAGAAACTTTGTGAATGTTGACTCTATGATATGTTTGCAATTATCGATATTGTATTTGTTTGGTAACTAGGGTTGAGCAAGATGAATCAAAAGTCGCACCTGTTTTATAAACAAGCTAATTTGTTTGGTTTTAGGAACGGACCCAGAATTTCGAAGTCGACTGAGCTAAATTTATCTTACCGACATTGTCGTGGGTTAGAATTTAGAAGGGCTTAGTTGATTAGGGTGAGACCGGCTATTTTCAATTGATGACTGGGCTATTAGAAGATGGGATAATGATTTGGTTCTTAGAACTTAGAAGCCCCTACTTGCTAATTTTAGAAGGAAAAAAAAAAAAACCTCGTCGGGGTTATAGCCCATATAAGTTTCTAATGGATCCGTGCATGTTTGGTAGTCAGAGTTGATCATTATTTTGATAGATCTCATGTGTTTGTATTAGTGTTTGGGGCAATATTTTCAATTAGTTTACCATTTATAAGATTCAAGGTCCTAAAACAAACCAACCAAAACCCACTTAGGATTTGCTTAGGTAGCCGAATTAGGTATGGTTTCTACATGAAATGATAATACATGTGCCGGATACACAAGACATGTGATTGCTTTAACAAACAAAAGAAGGAAAAGAAGTCATTTATAAGAAAAGAATATGGACCTAAGAAAAATGGATGACAAACAAGAATGGAAGAATCTAGAAAGACACGTTAGCCCCCTCACTTAGCCCGTTCTCTCTTAACAAATGAATACGTTATTATTATGATATCTTATGTTAAGGATGCATCATCATCGTAATTTCTTATATCGTGCTAATAATATAACGTTATATAATCATCAATATTGAACACGGTGACAATGTACTAGTGCAAATAATTGCTCTCCAGTAGAAGATGGGAGTGGGACCCACGTAAATTTATACCATTGGTAAGGTTTACATATGGACCCGGCCTTAGTCAAGCCTTCCTCCCCATGAAAGGTCAAGTGCTTAGATTCGTATTGCTGCATTAGGATTTGGTGCAGACTTAGGTGAGCCTGAATTGCATGTTTATTTGCTGTGTGGATCACAACAATAAATCACATTAAACTTGTAAGGGGGTGATGGGCCACTCAGGCCCACTTCTATCGTGATTTTATTCGTATGTTTTAATTCAATCTGACATACTTATACCTAGTCTGTATCTGGTTTACGATTTTTTTTATAGAAAAACTAACGAAAACTTCAAATAAATAAATAATAATAATAATAATTTTAATGAAAAAATGAGAAATAAATGTGTAGTGAATAGTACTAAAAAAAGAAGTTAAAATATGGTTTTTCGTTAAAAATGAACAGTATAAAAAATGTTGTCAAAAACTTCCTCTCTTTTTTTCCTGTTATTTCTGGATCGTGATTTGATATGAATGGTTTTAGGATCCGACGTGTATCTTCTTTGTAATGTTTATCGTCTTAATACTCATTTCTAACTTGTGTTTTCTTTAGATGATGCAGGGATATAGTAGGCATCTGAAACTTCTCATCTCTTTCGATATATCTGTAAATTGAACTGTCGATCTTTAAATCCTTGTATATATGGCAACAAGATCTAAAGATGGCAGCCCTGCTCCAGGGAGGGAGAATAAGATTACATCACCATCATCAACCACCAAAAGGCTCACCAAGTCCCAAACGACAATCACTGAAAAATTCTCTTCAACCTCATCAGCAAAACAAGTCCCAAACTATCTCAGGCCGACGTTAAGCGCCTCGAGGCACGAAAACTCGCTGAGGTCATTGTCCGCTGGAGCCAAAAAACATGGCTCTGAAGATCATGCAGCGTCTCAAAAACCTACATTGAATAGAAGAAGATCTTTTGACAAGCCAGCATCACCTTCTAGGCTTCGGAAGGCATTGGTCTCCCCGGGAAGGGAAGCGTCACTGCGATCGTCGTCAATTTCAGCAAAAACCTCATCTAATGCTCCGAGGCCAAGAATAGAGAGGACAAAATCGAGCACTTCTGGGGCTGGAAAGCCGCAGCTTTTGCATGCAAAGAGTGTGAAGAAGAGCAGCGGAAGCAGTTCGGTTAAGAAGGAGAGTTCATCAGGTTCAACAAGAGCTCCGAAGAGTGAGGACATAAAACATACAATTAATCTCGAAGCTAATTTAGATGCTATAGAGTCTTTGGAACATCATGAGGTTGAAGAGGTATGTAAGATCTCGAGTGAGGAGCATGATAAAGTGATTCTTCCGGATCCGAAAGGCGAGGAGATTGAACACGTTGGTGATCACGACGCTGGCGTTTCTGAGGCTGAAGGGAATAGCGGCGAGGATGAGAAGGTGAAGGCTAGTGAGGGTGTAAATTCTAATGCGGAGGAATTGAAGGAAAATGTGGAGGAAAGAAGCGAAGAAAGCGGAAGTGTATTGACCGAAAAAGAGGAGAAGCAGGCAGATAATGACCAACAAGATGGGGAAGAGAAGGAGAAAAAAATTGATGAAAGCGGCGAGGCAAAGGCGGAAGAGGGTTTGAGAAGTGAAGATCAGGAAACAAAAGTTGAGGTGAAAGAAGAAAAGGAGAAGGAGAGTGAAAGTAAAGAAGAAAATACAAGGGAGGAAAGCAAAAATGTTGAGGAAAAGGCATTGGATGAGAAGGAAAGGGGAGAAGTTGTGGACGGCGGAGTTGAAGAAGCAAAGCCGCAAAAGGCTGCTGAGGTGGAGTCAGAGGAAGCGCCGAAGCAGCGGCAAGCGAGCGAGGGATCATCACAAGGAGGAGGGAGGAAGGACACAGTTCCTGCATACAATGATGTGATTGAGGAGACTACAAACAAGTTGATGGAGAAAAGGAAGAACAAGGTGAAGGCATTAGTTGGGGCATTTGAGACTGTCATAGATTACGAATCCAAATGATAAACCCTAATTCATAAATTTTGTGCTGTAAAAATCTGTGTATATTTGGCACATACATTGACATATTCTGTGGTGAAGTGAGCCTAAAAGATTTGAGAGAAAAAAAAAAAGTTGGATTGGACTGAAACGCAGAAAGATGGGGAGGGTGTAATTGGGACATTTTTATTTTCCCTGCAGGAATTTGTTCATATTACCAGTGTAAGATGTACCATACATTTGTAAATAAATTATGCTCTATTTTTAGTCGTTTACCTGATTTTTCTGTGTCCGTTTTCACTCCCCTAAATATTGGTGTAACGTTACGCTTCTTCTGAAAGCATATTTAAAAGTGTAACTATGATTAGAATCTATGCATTTTAATATCTACACCTTTGATGTAAAACTTATTTCATTTCCAAAATTGTTGCACAAAACACTTTGAATAACTAGTGAGTGCCGGCAAGGTGTCGTTCGGAAAATGGAATGTATACATCGATCATGATTAATATGAAATGATCAACAAAATTGTAAGAAAGAATGTGCAAATTATTCACAGATAAGTAATTGTATATATGATTTGTAAATATATGATATCAACAACGTCAATATTCAAATTAAGAACAACAAAAATCCCAACAAGAACAAATAAATGAATGAATGAGAAAAGAATTTTTCTATATATAAATATATTTTCTTGGTGCCTAAATATAGGCCAGGTCACCCTTCTGTCTCAAACTAGCTAATACCCTCTAAAAACTCTCTTCTCTGCAGTACCTTAGCTGCAAAGAAACCTGCCTCTCAAACATCAGCTGCCGGCGAAAATTTGCTATAAAAACATCAGCCCTGCGATTGACATCATCGTCATCGTGATCGTCCGAATCCTGATCCCTCGGACGATCATGGGTCCTCGTGCTTTGAACCCTTCTCAAACCGCGCTGATTCCCATGAGTATTTTCGTCTTCAATGCAGCTGTAAAGCCCCAACCGGTCATTGAAGCTCAAACAATGCCGCGTAGAAGCTCGAGAAGCGCAACCAAGGATCGAAGCTAACCGCAATCGGTTTAATTTGAAGCTGAGTAAAATCAGGTTGATTTTCTTCACCGCCCTCTTGAGGTGGTGGCTTACGAGTGACAAGGTTTCCCTAGCCATTGCTAGCTAATGCTGTTGAAGTGAGAAACTGAAGAGAAATGCGAGCTTGGTTTTATAGGCAAGTGAGGGTATATTCTTGAGCAAGCTAACTGCTAAGGTGGTCACTTTAAAGCGTGTTGGGAAACTTCTTCGGCGCGTTTAAACGAGCTTACAGCTATTTATTTATTTATTTATTTTTTGTTTGAATTTTCAGTGGGGAATTACAGCTATGTAATTTGTGCGTGAGTTACGTGGGAAGTGTGACAGAGCTTGTGTTGTTCTTTTTGGTTGCTTGCTAATTAAGCAGAAGAAAATGATTGTCGTGGGGCCCACAACTTTGCTAATTAGGTCTTGCACTACAAGAAATCGAAGGTTTATGTTGGCTAAAGCCCAACTCGCCATCACTTAACGGCTCTTATTCTGAAGCTTTTAATACAAAAATATATTTACATTGAGGTGGTAATGGAATAAGTTGGCATTGAATTTGCTATATACATGATTCGAATTTAAAACCTATAAACTCTTATTTTAACGTTAAAACAAGAAGATTGAATTGCACTTGAAATCTGAAATAATTAACTCTTCAAATTGGGGACTAAGAGTGGTATAGAGTTAATAAACAAAATAGCCAGGTTAGATGAGTCTGTTTTTGCTCACCTCTTTAATCTACTGTGGCTTTGAGTTTTTCACTCACAATAACGTTTTACACTAGCAATAACATTTTTTTTTTAACAAAACAATAACGTTATTTATACACACTTTTTGATATACTCCCTAATACAAATGTATTTCAAATACAATGCACTTGCATTAGAGTGTCAATTTTGTGTCAAAATAACGTTGGTCCGTCTCGAAATCAATTCATATCTTCTCTAGGTTTTTAAAGTTTAAATGAGCCCCTTACTCCACCTCTACCAAGTTTTGTGCAAATCCCCTTTTAACTTTGCAAGACTCGTGCTTTTCAGGTTTGTTAAAAAGGCATTCGTGTCCTGTTTTTCTTTAAGTCATGTTTCCTTTTGTTTTCGCGTTTCTTGTGTTTACCAAAAAAAAGATAAAAACCAAACACGAGCACTTCCTTGAGCTGAAAGAAACACGAAAACATGAAGACATAAAAACAGAGCAGAAGAAAGACAAGTTCTAAGGTGCATCATAACTCAAGTTAATTGAATTTTACTTTAATGACAGAAACATTGCTACCGATTCTGGGGGCAATCTACAGCAGATTACGGAAATTATTCAGTACAAAACTGTATTGAAACCAACGTGAATGTCATGAATTTCCGTGATGAGTAAAGATGAACAAACTTCTGCTTATCAGGCTTTGCTACTACTGCTACAATTTCTCTCTAAAAAAACCTGAAGAGAAACAAAACTCTGAAACACGGAGAGTAGCTGACCAAAACCAAGAACATCCCACGAGCTGGTTTAAGAGTTCCCACGAGCTGGTTTAAGAGTTCTAAACTCAGGAGTTTGCGACCAATTGCTCGGGAACATCAACATGAGAGCTTCCTGCATCGACCTTTGCATCTACGGCATCAGCTACTTGTTTGTCAGTTCCTTCCTCGATCTGTTTTAGTTTCTTCGACCAACCATACATCTGTCTCTTGACTTCCCTTTCGTCTATTTTTAGGTTTTTGAATCCTTGTTCCAAGTTGGCTTCGGCTTCAGCTTCAGGTTTATTAAAAGCAACCTGCTTGTGCCCAACATCTTCATATAATTTTTCAATTCTGGCTTTCCAGACAAATCCCATTTCCGTATCCATCTTCTGGTAAGGTGTTTTCAGAAAATACTCATCAATCCCACCTGCCTTGTCTATGCAACGGAGAGCATGGGTGGTGACTTTGACACGTATGTGGCGGTCTAGGATGTAACTGAAGAGCCGCTTCTCCTGCACATTTGGCTTCCATGTCCTCCTTGATCTGTCACCACCAACAAGAGAAAGTTCAAGTGGTTAATATAACCCATTCCCACAACTAGTTAAAAGAACCAAATCATTCAAAATTGCAGTCACATAAGTAAACCCTGTTCTCTAAACTGCAAAAATACACTTGGTTCTGGTGGTTAATATAACCCATTCCCACAAATTATTAAAAGATTACATAACCAATCATTCAAAACTACATTGATCTACGTCAGTCCTGTTCTAATAACTCGAATACACTCAAAGAACCTGTATAGTAGGAAATGCTATGCCAAAATTCTTAAAGAAAACCCATGTAGACCCGGTGACAGCTGACCAATACGAAACTTTTACACTACTAATACTTGTCTGTCACTTGTCCAAATTATGCAAAATCCTTTATGAGAATGCACGATTTGCTCTTTCAACGGTCGAGCCAGATTGATCTCTAGCTACAATAGCTTTGAGAATACAACTTACGCAGCGAAAATGGCAACACAAACCCGCAAGTTCCATACTTTTAGCTTTGATTATATATAATACCCACCTCAACCATTCTTTACTTCAAAGAAAATGTTTGAAACAACCCAGCTAAGAAAAATGAAATAAAATCAAAGTCACTGATCAAATCCAAAATTATAATTAAACAAACTTCATATAATTTTTACCATTTTATTTGTCATTGTAAAAAATTAGGGCATAATTTCAACATCAGAGCTAAAGCTCAAATCTTTGGCATCAAAATTTAAAAAAATGAAAGAGATGGGAAAAAATATACGAACTTGTTGCCGCCGTCTTCGCTGATTTGGTTGCCGAACTGGATGTGGCGGCCGGCGTAGATGCCGCGCTTGGCCCGACCCATGATGATATTCGAATCGGGCATGCCTTTCTTCTTGAGCTCCTCTCTCAATCGGGTGGGTAGGGTTTTCCCTCCCATGGTGCCCTTCTTCTTCAGCTCCTCCTTCAGCCGCGGCGTTAGGGTTTTGTCGCCGAACTTCTTCATCACGCTCTTGATTGTCTCCTTCCCCCTCACCATCGCCATTTCTGATCTCACTGTGTCTTCGATTCCTAATTCCTAGGGTTTTGCAGTGACGATTGAGGGTTCAGTTCATCAACTTCATTTCCTATGTTTTCTGATATATCCAATGCGCTGCGTTTTGTGAAGATGGTTTCCAACTTTCCATCAACGGCTCTGATTATTTGTTTATTCCTTATTTATTAATTGAGAACGAATTACACGTGGCTCCACAACAATTTCTTCTCGAAACGTTTCAGGACAAATTCAAAACTTTATGCTTATGATCTGATGAGTTCATATTAAGAGACAAACAGTTCCGATTATAAGCATAAGATTATTTTACAATTTTGTGAAGCCAAGTATTGTCATTATACACAACGAGATTTGGAGACGTTCCTCGAAATGGGCCAAGATCTTTTCAATTCTGTCATTTTTCACTCTAAAATTTTATAATTGCATAAATTTAAACCATGCGCTATTTGAGGATCAAGTCATGTGTTAAATTAGTGATGCGGCTGTTATGAGATTCATTGGTGGTGATGTATAAAAATCCGACCACCAAGTTTATGCCTAGTCTGATTCGCTTAATTCTTCATTTTCCACCTGATGTCGGTTAGCTCCAGTATTTTTTCCTCATCCTTACATATTTACTCATTTGAATGAATGCTACATTGATCACTACGATCATATTCATATAACAAAAATTGAATTTACAAGGAGGAGGATACATATAGTTTCATAGTCTAACAGATTGTTACATGAGATTTCTACGTAAAGAAAGTCGACTCAGACCTGGCGTTTCGGATTCCGGTGACACTAGTTTACACAGTTGTTCGGCTGTAAAAACACCAGCAGCTCTCAAACTGGAAGCACTACCACCATATACTGAGCTATGGTTTATTACAATCACCATTTTGTATCTATACTTCATGATCAGATCCACCACATGCCCGATTGACGTTCGAGTAGCAACACAAGGAGGCGGGCTTCTCATCATTGACGATAGAGGGGCGTTCATCTACACGATAGTATGCAAACTTGGATTAGCTCATAAAACATACAGCATGCAAACTTCGATACCAACCACCACGAGTTGATCTTGAAAATTTGGCAATTTAGCAGAACATAATCTATCAGATAATGGATTGTACGCTGCAGTATAGGATAGAAAACACTTTGGTTTTACCATCAATAAATACCTCTCGACAGTCTTCACGGTGCAATACACCAATGCAGCTACCCCAGTCATCTATGATGGGCACCACTGAATCCTTAAAGAAACGCATCACCACTTTGTTCAAGTCCAGGGTCCCATTAAGTGGCTGAGCTGCTTCAAAGGGCATCATGACACTTTCAATTGGTTCACTTGCCAATACCTAAATAGGAAAGGTGTAGGAAGATCAATCAGAAGTGACCAAAGATGTTGAACATAGATTACTAATAAGTCAACCCTTTGCCATTTGTTTCTATCAAGTTACACAAAATCCTCGTTCAGTAACTCAACTAGCAATTCTTTGTCAGTCCATTCAAAAATTAAAAAAAGTATTGAATAAATAAATGATTATATCCAGTCACACTTCTTTCTACATAATTTGATCTTATACATTAATGCCACTAATCATAGGTCCACTATCAAGCATCTTACAGCACTGATACCATACCCGACCATACATTTATGAAGGCATTAAGTTAGTACCTGAAGCAGTTATTTTTTTTTACTATTTGAAAGGCCGTAAGTATGTATGAAAACCTGAGGAAGTAGATAAGGACTCAATATCGATTTGGTGAATCCCAGCAAGGCCTCTATGCGGAGAGCCACCTGCAGTACAAAGGCATATTAAGGGACTATGACTCGGAACCAGAGAAATCAGAATGTAGTGGTAAGTATTGAAACCTAATAGAAGGCCTACTTAGCCATCTCACTTCAAACTGAAGTTTGTGAAATTAAAAGAAAGAAGTCCAAAAAATCAAAATGACATTGTAGATTATCCATCACAAATGAATGTCCATGTTAAACTTTTTTATTTCAGAAGTATTAATAGTCGTAGAAGTAAAGGGATTACCATGCCTCCTCGACTTGTCCATGATATCCTCTTCCACCTTGTAATAGTACTTGCGAGGTATTTTACAGCCAAATCTACCTGACAAAACAAAAGGATAGTTTATAACATTAAAATTGTCAAGACTAGTAAGTTTCCTTTTGCAAATCAAATGAAAAAGAATAGAGTTACATAGAAATTGAACTAGCGCATTACTTGATAAGTGTCATTCAGAGGGAAATAACTAAAGGCAATTCTAATATCTCTGTGCAGTACCTGGATACTGAAGACAGCATCCAAATGCATCAAACACTATGAAGGTATATATTAATCAGCGATGGAAAGAGATGTATGCAGTAACACACCCCGTGCAGATGCCTGGAATGAGTTGATATAGTACCTGACCATCATTTAAAGCTGCCTCCATGAGTAGATGATCAGCTTCCTCTTGAACCATTGGGGAGATAGTTCCAGAAGTATCTCGCCACATGTGCTCATTTAGATTTTCAACGGTACTGTAATCTCCACTAACAGAAAATGCGCGCATGAAGGAAAGATAGAGGTGAGGTTTTGGTCGTAAATTTGGCTTTCCCCCAGCCCGCTTTAATATTTCTCCCAATATGCATAAAGCACCTAATTATCACAAACAAGAAATTAATCAGTAGAAGAGTGAGAATTGGTTTCAATTCCTAACCCTTCAAACACCAGCATCCTTCCAAAGTGGATAAACAAAAGGAATGTCCAGCCAATATGCAGCATACGTGGTGCAGTTGACTTATAATGAGAGTTCTAATAGAGAAAATACAATGCAGTTTATTTCATGTCAACATAAGCATGCAAATATACAACTCAATTCAAACGGTATCTTTGGCACATTTTTTTGTCACCATGATACCTTGTAGCCTTGACATTTGGCAGAAGGAAGGCATAATTTTCAGTTCGTGCTCATTTTTTTTGGTCAATTTTTCGTGCTCGTTATATGATTGAAAATTATGCAGCTTTTCTATGTGCAAGTGCGATTGAACTTTAAAATCATTAGGAAAATGCATAGATATGAACATCAACAATTTCGGATAACTGAAACTCCTTGTATTGCAAACTATTTTTCATGCACAACATACCTTTTATTGAGCCACAATTTAGCAAAGCATCAGCTGCTGCAGTGTATGCTGTTCGATCAATGAACAAACCAATATATGTTTTCATTTCCAATATGATCTTCTGAACTGAATTGATATCTTTGGAATCCCCAAATCCCTGCCAAAGGAAGACACAACAGACAAAACAAACATCAAAATCTAAGGAGCAGACACGTTTAGACTTTAGAGGATATAGATGATATAAAAGAAAGTTTGGATTCATTGTGGCAGTAAAAATGCGAATACTTTAAACATGTCCTTAAATTCCATTAGAAAGTTACTGAAACAAAAATAACGGACCTTAAGTAATGTAGTGTAAGTGACCACATCTGGGAAAAGGTCACCATGGCTAAATTTCTGTGCTTCATCCTGAAAAAAGAACAGCATTTAGAACCTTAATATAGGCAACAAGCTAATACAATTAAACATATTATACAGGCTCTAAACTAGCCTTTCATATAGCTTGGGACCTTCATTTCCTCAAAAAACTGCATTGCAATGTCCAACTTTCCAGCTTTTACACATGCAGATATCAGAGTATTATAGGTGAGCCTATCAGGCTTTAATCCTAGACGTAATATCTCGTCATGCATGGTTATTGCACCCTGAGGAAGGCCTGCATTGATATATCCCTGAAAATTAGGAGCAGAAACCACTTAAGAAACAACATTGATTAACTAAACAACAAAGTTTAGGATCGTGCATACACACAACACTGTCTGTAGCTTAATTGTAAAGCTCAGTCTTTGAAAAGCAAAAGAAAATTCATACTTTAATTTGTCAAATCTCTTAAAGAACTATACATAGGTCAGTGCGGAACCTTCATTAGTAAGTTGTAGACTCTGACTGTAAGACTGCCACCTTCGCGAAGGAGAAAACCATAGTGATGAAGAAGCCCATTAGAGCGGCGTAAATCTCCTGCACTACACCAATAAGCAAACGGCGGATGCATCTCTATGATCAACTAATATTGTGTAGTATAACAACACTATAATAGTAATAAAAATGTATGCAGAATTACGGATCATCTTCCAACTGGGTACTAGGGTTATAAAGCATTAGAAAACATTAGAAAACACTGTGAACATACAATAAACACATAGTAAAGCACTAGCTTTATAAAGCATTGGAAAACATTTTGTTATTCTTCGAAATCGTAATTCAGACCTGCTTCAACTAGAGCATTGAGCAGACCAAGAACAAGAGGTGCTGACAATTTCGGACTTCCCACTGCAGTGCCTCGCTCCACAGATTCAAGTACATAAAATGCTTCATCAATTCTCCGTGCCGCGCCCAAACCCTGTACAACAAAACCCCCAAACTCTCTCATACCTAAATCTCTAAAACAAAATTTGAAAAGAACCCAAAAGAGTACCTTTAAGATGGTTCCATATGTGATAGTATCAACGCCACAGCTTCCTGGCTCAGCCATTTCGTCGAACAACATGAGTGCAGAGTCAATATCGCCGCAATGTACACAAGCCTCCACGACCGCGTTCATCACAACCGTGTTCAGCTTCCCGAATCGTTCTTTAGCGACCTCTATCTCCTCCATTATCTGGTGAAGCTGTCTCCGGCGGGTGAGCTGGACAACGCGGGAGGTGAGTCGCCGGAGATTGGGTTTGCGGGGAGGGGAGGTGCTGATTCGACGACGTCGTAATGGGTAGGAAGAACAGACGGCGAAGGAGGCCGAGAAGGTTTGCATTGTTTTTGGTGGTGGTGGGGAGGCTCAGAGCCAGCCATCGGCCATGGATGCCTCTCTCTTCTATCTCTACAGATAATGTCAGTCGGACTCAGAGACGGAAAGTGTTGGGGAGGTGTTAGATTATTGGCGGGTAAATTAATTGTGGACTGTTTTGGGCTTTTACAGGTCCAAGGCCCACCATGGCCCAAAATATATATTGGAGAGAATTGATGTTTGTTTTTCTTTTATCGATTAAATA